GCCCGACAGCACCAGCGCCGACCCGCCACGGCCGGCAAAGAGGCTGCTGATCACCTTCCTGCAGGGCACGGAGGGGATGTCACCCCCCAACACCACCTCTTCCCCCTGCCATGCTCCCAACCCAGGACCCCACTCACTTCTGGGACTCCTGCAGCAGGACAGAGGCATTTTGGGAGGCTGGGTTGTGCTTGACATAGCTGAGCCATCCGGTGGCATCGTACTCCACCCAGTTAGTCCCCGAGCTGTGGCCCAGGAGGAAGTGTCGGGGTTTGTCACTGGGGAGCAGAGGGTTGTGCCCTGTGGGAAGACACAGAACCGCTGGGCACAGCCCCAGGGACCAGCACTTCACTGGTGCATGTCACAGTCACAGAATGGTAAATGGTTTGGGTTGGAAGGGAGCTTAAAGGTCACTGAGTTCCAACCCTCACTCCACGGGCAAGGACACCTTCCACTAGAAAAGCTGCTCCTGGTCTAGAGGACATATTCCCACAGTGCCAGGCTTCCCCATACCTTTCTTGCCCCCTTCCTGTGGGCCGTAGTAGGAGAAGAGCCGCTCCAACAAGGTGTCCTCGTTGCCGCCCGGCTGCAGTGCCTCCTCCTCCAGCAGCCACAGCAGCCCCCGCGCCTCGTCTGTGCGGGCCAGTGACCGGACCTGCAGGGACACCGCACTGGCAGCTGTCCAGCATACCACTGTCCCCCAGAGCAGGGATATGGGGTGACACAGGGGACCCAGGCCACCCAGGGAGCATGCAACGTCACACCATGCAAGAGGTCTCCTGCTTAATGGAGACCCAGCAGGAAAAGAGCCCATATGGGACACTCCAGCAGCGCATCTCGCTGGGGAATGCAGCGCTCGGGCACCCGAGGGCTGGAGCCACAAGCCCTCCCGGTCTCTGCAGCCACCTCCAAAAGGGACTGGAGGACCTCAGGGATTAGAGAACCTTGGGAACCTGTGCACCCTGGGGACCTGAGCACCTTGGGAACCAGATCATTCCAGGGATCTCAAGGACTGGAGCACCCCAGGGATCACACACAGTCTCCAGGTCCCCTGCCTGCAGCACAGGCAGCTTCCAGGGCAAGCAGGGAAAACCATGCTGGGGGATACACCAAGGATGTGGGCTGCACACATACTCGCACCCGTGCTTTCACAGCCATTCAGGACAGCCCCTTTCCTTCCCCTCACTACCACCTAAGTGCCAAAATTCCACCCATCCGCTGCCGTGCTGTGGCTGGGAGGAAGCGCAGTGGGTGCTTACCAGTGCCTGGTGTGAGGACTGGTCTACAGCAGCTACGGAGCCAGAGGAGCCGGGCTCAGCATCAGCCAGGGTGAGCTCTATGTTCTCCTGGTGAGGGGGAACAGAGGCAGGTGAATGCCCACACCACGGAGTAGCAGTGATTGGGACCAGGAGCTGGTCAGGGTGTTGGTCTCAATGAGGTTTAGGATGATGTCGCATGCCAAGGGGGGACCAGGACACGTGGAAGGGTCCCCCCAGGCTGTCAGTGCCAAGATGGAGCAGCAGCAGTGATCTCACCACCACCACCACTCACAGCCACCCCATCACCTCCCAGCCCAGCTCTCCTCTGCCATGCTCCACAGCCAAAGAAATCAGGGGGGACACAGAGGAGATGTTCACGTGGGGACAGGAGGGCAGGAAGGGAGGAGGCAATGGCAGCCCTGGGTGTCCCCAGTACCTCCTTGTATCGCTCCAGCTCGCGGGCGAAGGTGCGCTGGTGGAAGAGGAGCTGCAGGCGCTCCTGGGCATAGTTGTGGCAGAGCTCCTCGAAGGTGGCCCCCCGGCTCTGCCCTGCCAGCTCAGGGTTCTGCGCCCCGGGGGTGTCCACAACTGTCACCGAGCACACCGAGTGCTGGCTCGACTTCAGCGCCCTGGGGGGGACACAGAAGGGACTCAGCGGGGCGAGTGGATGCTGCCACGCACCCCGCAGCTCTGCCCCCAGCCCTCCCAGCACATACCTGTTGAGGAGGGAGATGAGGAGGGTGAAGAGCTCGGAGTACAAACCAGATGCCATGCCCTCCAGGCACTCCAGCGCCGTCAGCTTGGGACCTGGCCAAGGCAACCCTGAGTGTCCTCAGCCTGTCATCCCCCGGGGCCCACCCGCTGTCCCCCCAGACCTCACCCTACCTGTTCCACCATCCCCCAGGGGGGACTCATCAGGGCCCTGCCGGAAGGAGGTGGAGCGCTGCAGGGTGGCCTTGGGCTGGTGCTTGAAGATGGCAGAGGAGAGCTCCTCCAGGCTGCAGCCCAGCAGGTACGCGGCTTTCTGAGCCCACTCGTGACGTGCAAACTGCTTCCTCCCAGCTGGAGGGTGGAGAAGGGGGCTTCAGAGCCAGGCAGGGCATCCCCAAAAACGGGGAGCATTTCCAGACAGGCTTAGATGGTCTCAAGGACCCCCAGAGTATGCTGGGGGTGCTGGGCACAGTGGAAGTACATGGCCAGGAAGCATGTTTTGAGGTGTGAGGAGACAGACATGTTTGGGGTGTAGGGGAGATGGGGGGTGAATGGCTTCATGCCACTTCAGGGTTGAGCCCACAGCCACACCACGGTGTGTGGAGGTGAGGGTCCCCTTGCCATCACTACCCAGGGACCTTTGGGGCTCTGAGCCACCCTACACACAGGGACACGTCCCTGCTCGATGACACACTGGGCAGCCCAGCTGCAGCACAGCAGGACAGACCGTGGCGGACAGACAAAGACATGGATGCTGATGGAGGTGGGAACAGGTTAATGGTGACATGCAGGGACATGACAGCAGGATGGCGGTGGCACGTGGGAAGGGAAGCCAGAGACACGGGCGGAGAACAAGACTTTACCTTCGTCGGCGTCTGCATTGCAAAGGGCAGCATGCACCATGCGAACAGAGACAGGGGTTAGAAACAA